AATGCTGGTTAATTAAGACATCTTGTTAAATTTCTGATTATTGTATCTGTTCACAAATTATAAATTCTTTACAAAACATCCTAAACCATCTCAAATTAAAGGGCATTTTTGAATTAATTCCTGAGAGTTTTTAAACATTTTTCTTTTGAATTTAGTAAATTATATTTACATACAAACTTTCAAATTATAATAATTAGACTAAACTTAATAAATTTATGAATAATTCTTAATTGACTTATAATTTAAGTAAAATTTCAGAATTTTTTTTTATTTTTAGACCATTCCCTGACGATTGTCAAACTCACAAATTTGGTGGAAAATGATTTTATTTGGAAAATTTAGCTATCTGCACTGGAATTTTAGGTTTTTATGTTGTTTTCATATATTTATATTAAAGGTAGATTGTTGTTCATTTGTTGCAAAACCGTGTTGTACTAGATTTTCTTTAGAAGTGTTAAACATGAGATCGTGTTATTAACCAATCACACAATTCAACTAAATAAAGTGGAAAAGAAGCCATGTGATTGGTTAATAACATGATCTCGTGTTCAACACTTCTAGAAAAAGAAAAATAGGTAGGTAAGTCAATGTTTCTCTGTCGAGCATGAAAATGGTTCTGGATACAAAACACAGTTATACGAGTAAAAACTTTCCACAATAATTCGTGCAGATAAGCATTTACAGAACAAAATCACAATTAATGTTAAGTAATTCGTGTCCTATGTACAAATAAACACCATCATAGACTATGAATGCATTTGTTTACACACCTTGAACACAGTTTTTAATTTACTTTGATAAAATTTTTGGTATTTTATTGTAATTTTCTAAATTCAACTTTTAAAAATAAAAATATTTGGCACAGTACATAGTAAGATAAAATAATTTTTTCTATACATAATCATTAATATTCCATAATTTATATCACCTGTTTGAATCTTATGTACCTTGTTAATCGGATTATCTACTAGTTGATATGATATAATAAGAAGATAATACACCAAAATCAAACAAAATTTAGATATAACTAGCATCCCCGTCATGGCCTGCCCGCTCTTATATACATATAGAACTTAGAAAATTTGAACTAATTGTTCATTAATTATTTTTGAGTGATCATTGTGTAGTATTGCAGTAGAGTTTTGCAAAATATAAAAAAATAAAATCATAAAACTTCTGAATAAGTTATATTGATGTGAAACATAAAAAATTCCTCACTACACACATTCGATTCTGAGCCGAACGAATTCGTTGCCCTTCCAGTCTTTGCTGTAGAAGTGTAGATTCACATCATCTACAATTATGAACTGTTTCTTCCTATTCGTGCTCTTGCAGCTCTCGACATTATTTATCAATCAATCTTAAAAATATTCACCAATAACTATTTCGAATATTTTGCACAATTACCTGCAGAAACGATTCGAAAACCCACCATAAGTACTGTACACATACGGCCATCTAGCATGATAACGTCACTTTTTTAATTCCTCGAAGATTTTGCTAATTAACTAATATTTTAATGTCAGTTCTTCAAATATAATAGTAAACTTCAATAATAGACTTTTCTTATAGACAGCATGTGTCGCCATCTAGTGAAGAGAGAGAGAGAAATAGACAAAAATCCATTGCAGTTTTATTTAATTAATAAAAAATCTGTAGGTTTGATTAATGGTAAACATTCCAGGGATCATAAAGATGCTACAGTTAGAGTTTGCTAACGATTGGTTCAGTAGTTTTCACGGTTAGTAGTCAAACGAAAAATACATTGTCTCTTTATATAGTAGTATAGATTAACTTACTTTTGCTTTTGGTACTTTGGTTATCAACAACAAAAATTCTTTTTTGTTACAAATTTATTAAATTTTGGCTCTACATTGTAGTAATGACATAAAAAAGTTCAGATTTTTGAGATACGTTGATGACATCAACTTTATATATAATTATATTATTACAAGATTGAAAAGTTACCTGAATATTATCAAAGATATTATCGGTTCCAGTATTTATTTATACTAATTTGGAGTGCCTCAAATTCCGATCTGTATTGTAGTTTTTTGTGTAAAGTATCATTTTAAACTTTCTCACACCTTTTTGTTTTTAACAGACAGTAATGGCATATCTATTAGCTTATGACCATATCCTACAAGACAGAAATGTGGGCACATTAATTTATTTCAATATAAGAGGTTATTCTTATGAATAAACAAATTGCATTTTATTAGGACTTTTATGACAGCAAAGAAGTTTTTTACTACCCCAGTGCTTCCAACTTTTAAGACACCTTTGGAAAGAGAAAAGTTCTAGTATGGACGATATACGAACTTCAAAATATGTCTTTAAATGAAGTTTTCAAAGTGGACAACTATACATCATTGACACATGAAAACCCCATAGTACCAAAAATCAAATTTTACAAAACTATTATTACTTTACTACCAATTGAACTTAACAGAAAAAAAGATCATCAATTAAGAGGTTTCTTCGGTTGTATAGATGGCTCAGTTACATAATCTTAATGCATGCAGCAGTAAGGCCAATTCTATCGGTCAAATGTCTTGAAATATTTGGAGAACCTGCACGATTACGACAAAGCTTGTCCGACCCAAGGTAGCACCTGAAACTTTTTTGCTCATCGACGAAGATACATAGCATTTCCTCTCAGTGTAAATACGAAACATACATAACACATATAATCATTTGCTTTAGAACTTCATTTAAAAATGCTCCTTTCAAATTTTTTCTTTTAAATAGGTTTTGAAATTGTCGTCCATACCAATTTGATTTAATCAAATTTTCTATCCCCAAACACAAGTTGTAAAGCTCAAAAAGTACACATTTGTTTGTTAGCAGTTCCAACAAAGGTCATCGATATTTAGATGCAATTCCTGCATGTAACACTACCAGGTTGCCCATTTTTGAGTTACATTAGTTTGTAATTATTATTTTCAAATTACAAGTCTATTATCAGATGTGATATTACAGTATGCAAATGGCCGACTGTATTTTGTGTAACAGAGTAAAACAATATTTTAGCCTAATGCCTATTTAACACAGATGAAAATGTTAGCTCTGTTAGTTTGTATGCCAGATTTTGATTTTGGACACTGTCGTTAAACAATATTTTTTCATGGCTAACAAACAAATAAAAGAAATTTATATTAAAGACTAAAAATAAAGCAACAAATTAATTAATGCTTCTAGTCCTTTAAATATTATTTTATTAATATTAGTCTTTTGTGACTATAATCTATTAATAGGACTTGTGATGATGATTCAACTTGGGGATTGAATTACTCTCTAATTTCATCTGCAAGTTAAATCACTATAATAAGTCCTATTAATAGATTATAGTCACAATAGACTGACAGTAATAAAACAAAGCAACAAAGTTTGGAAAGAAGTTATCTGTATCCTTACAGACTTACAAAAGTCTAAATTATCATTGTCAGAAGCGATAGGTTAGCAAAAATAAGAAACGAGAAATAACAAGGATGCAAAACAAATTTGTAGGCAAAGAAAGAGGTGTCACATGATAGACGAATGGAATTTTATCTAGGATCTATCACAAAACTCCACAAGATACCGAAACTACTTAGTAACTATTAAATGAAGGACTCATTACTTCCCTCCCAATCTGTTATAAACGACACAAGAAAATTCAAAGTTCAAATATCAGACACCGGCCAGACTAATAATTACACTGAACAAAAAATTTACATGTTTGATCACGATTAGATAAATTTTAAGAATTTTCTTTTGTTCCCATAAACAACCATTTTTAATTACGTATTCAAAAACAGAGTAGCATAATTAGCATTTTGACATAAAGTAAAATGTTATATTCCTCTGTGCAACAAAACTGCATTTTCAATTTCACACTTACTTCTAGAAAAAAGTTCTCATATTTAAGGAATGAAACAATTCTTAATTAAAATTATATGTTAATAAACAAAAATTCATCTAAAGATAAAAAAATAAATAAATTTAAAATCAAGATGCACACTAAACTATTTTATACACAAATTTCTATTAAGAAACATATCTTTCAAGCATACGTATTTAAGAATTGGTTTTTGCGCAGGCCTCTGGCTCTTCCGTGTCCTGGCTCTTGGCCTCGAATGATTGGAAAAAAGGGGGAAAGTTAATCACAATTACCTTTGCAATTAACTTTTTCCCATCCTTTTTGCCAACATTGCAATGCCAACATATGAATTTATATATTTGTAACGGTATGTTTACTATACGGAAATCTTAGTTTATTTTTTCTTTCTTAAGCAAAGACATGATTTTACATCACCACCTCTGGTGGGTCTGCACTCCCGGCAGCATACCAAAGACTGGTCATGGAAAGCACCATCTTCCACCCCCGGCGGATCTTCCTGGTCTGAGAGCTTATCTGTTTAATTTTAGGTAGCAAAAGCAGAGAATCATCGAAACATGCACTCCGGAGGAGACAAAATCTCTGCGGGAGTCCGCGGCAAGAAGCTGAAACCCACACCAGATGAGGGAAGAGAGACGAGCCAGATGAACTGCCTGAGTCGACCTCTCCGAAATACGTACGCTCGAGAACGGAGGCAAAAAGGCTCTGCATAAACAAATTACAAAATAAGGTCAAGTAACATAATTGTCCCCCAGGAAATTTTTAATTCTCTTCTTCGTTTTTTCCTCTCTAGATTTCAGAATTTGCAGAGTGAGTGGGATGCCAGAAAGGTAGGCATTAAAGAATTTTCTGCAAACTTTTCCAATCGTAAATAAGTTCTCTCAAATCCGTAAACAACAGGAAGCGGAGTTCCCCCGAAAAACCATAAAAGTGATAAATGTAGGATCTCTCATTATATCGATCCGCTCCATCCATTAAAAATTCAAGGGGGACTGGTTCGATTCTCCTCCGCCAGATGGCGATAGAGAGCGGCGAAAAGAGAATCAGAGAAGTGGCGCCGCCGCCAACGCCGTAGCGTCGGCCGCGCGCTGTTTAGAGAAGAAAAGCCCAGCATACTTACGGGAAAGAACCCCGCGGGTGGAATGGGTCCTCCTGGCATCCCCTCGTTTGGTGGGATCTGGCCCAACGGGCTCGGCGCTGTCGGGTTCTGCGGGAAACGAGGAAGGAAAAAAAAGTTACGAAATAAATAATTAAAAGGGTATCGCGCGATTCGCGCCGCGTCCAGCCGCGCCAGATCGGTTGGTCGTTCCAGGCGCGCCGCGAAGTGGAGCAGAGGGAGGGAAAGGGGGAGGACGATCCCAATGCGGCGGAGAGAAGGGAAGAGAGGAGAGGAAGAGCCGGGTACGGTCGACCGCGGCCGGCGGGGGACGCCGGCGCAGCACGTGCGTCGAGGCATCGCGCCTCATTGATTTTTCATGGCAATTTCCGCGGCGGTCGGCGGGAAAGGAAAGAGCCGGAGTTTTCCCTGCCTCTCACCTGCCGTCCATCGATCGGTTCCTCCCGGCCGGCCGGGGGCACCGGAAGCGTCGGGACCGAGAGGAAAGGGCCCCGGCCGTCCGCCCCCTCGGACGGAAGAGCGAACGGCCGACTTTCAAGGACGCTCTGGCAACTCGCCAAAGGGAAAACGCGCGGCCCGCACCGACTTCCGCCTTTCGGTCGGCCGAAGGGGCCGCTGGCCACCGCCGACGCGCGCGCTAGCGAGCCAGCGCCGGAGGGGAAGAGGGGCGCGCCGGCCCGGCCCTCTTCCGGCCAGGCGACGGCGGGGCATCGACCCGGCCGACCCCGGCAGAGAAAAGAATTCGGCGAAAGAAGCCGCCAGACCGACGGGAACGTTTCGCCGTTTTTTCCGTCCGTGGGGCCAAAGGTCAAGGTCGAACCGAGGCGGCCGAGCGCAACGAGCCCGGTCCGACGGGTCGTCGCTCTACCGCCGCGCCGACCGGGATCGAAACTTGCGAGAAATAAAACGCCGGGGAAACAGACAGGGAGAAGTTTCAAGGTCTCCACTGTTTGCGCGATGCGCGTTGACGTCAAAGAGAACGGTGCCATATCCATGGCTACGGTCTCCTCGGAGACCGCACCTACTGCACGCTGGACGACGTCACCGGCGGACCTTTGCGTCCGGAGAGCCCCCCTCTCGCCGCCAGCGCGGATCGTTCCTTCCCGGGGAGCGGGTGTTTCTTTTACCTGCGCCCGTCACCCCGTCGGCGGCGACGACTTCCGCCGGCCGTTCACAGATGGCGCCACGGGGCCGCGGTGGGCCCGACGCCAATCTACCCGCGAAAAGACCTTCACGCCCGGACGACCGCGTGACGTCATTCCAACCTCCCGGCACTTTTTTCCACGTATTTCTGTTCGGTGACCAGCCAGGCGGGACGAGCGGTCTTCGACCCCGTCGGCCACCTCTCGTCCGAAAACGCCGCGGGCCGGGGTGGCCTCCCCGTTCCTCGGGCCCCCTCCCGCCACCGCCCGGTCGACTCCGACGGGGTGGCGGAACGTCCCATCGGACGCCGGAGGGAGGGGGAGCCGCACCAATGGAACCGACCCGGCGTTCACTCAAAACGTATCGATTTTGTGTCGCGCGCGCGCGCTCTCTCTCCCCCGCCGTCCGGAAAATTCGTCACCGCGCCGGGAGGGAGGCGGATAGGCCGGGTTAAGCGGGAGGCCGAAGCGGCCTGCCCTCTCCCCGCCGGAAAGGGAAAGTCGGCCGATCCTTTCGGCGCAACCTCCTTCCGCCGGAAACGAGGAGGAAGGGAGAAAAGACCACTGCTCGCGCGCGCGCGCGCGGCCGCTTGACGCTCTTCCCACCCCACCGATGTCGGCGGACGGATCCACGGATGTAGAAAGGGATACAGGCTACGGCCGAAAACGATCGATAGTTTAAATTGTTTTCTTCCCTTGGAGTGCCGGTTCTCAAACTCGACAAGTCGGGCGGAAGAGGGCGCCGCGCGCGCGAATATCCGTACGGTAAGGACTGGAAGGGTACTTACGTGGGCAATGCCGTTGACTGCGTAACCGGAATTGACGAAACCCTGAAAAAGAAAATGCCAAAGATCAGAAGGTGTCCGGGACCCTCCGGGGTCCACGCCCCGCGGGACCCGCGCGGCCAAGAAGCGGAAGACCGGCGCGGCCGATAATCGATAGCGCGTCCACTTTCCGCTTCGGAAGAGCGGGAGGGGAGGGAAATTGTACCCTCCCACGGTAACCTTCGAGGAAGGAGGCGGTGTGGAGAAATCGGGGGATTAAAGGGGTGGAGGGGTCGACGGCGTTCCCCGCCGCCGGTACGTGAGCCGTCCGAGCCCGGCAGCACGCCATCTCATAAACGGGAGCCAAGCGGTAACCGGATGCCGCGCCATCCTAGACGCACGGACGGCCGACGCAACTCGCCGTTTCCCGGATATTTTTCCATCCGGGGCAGTGCGTTCTTCCCCCTTCGCATTCGGGTAGCGCCCCCGACCAGTCCCAAAGAAGGGAAGGGGCGGCGCTCCCCTCTTTCGGAGCTGGGACCGGGAACGTCGCCCCGTTTTCGAGGACGTCCGGTCACGCGCACCGCCAGGCCACGCGTGGCGGACGAGGAAGTCGGGTCGGTGCCTGAAAAAGCGGAACGCGACCGTAAACGTCAACGGACGAAAGAAGTAGAGCGAGAGTGGCCGGTTTCCGCCTCTCTCCCGCGGACGAAAAAAGGCTCCGGGGAAGAGGCCGAGGACGGACCTCCGCCGGCGGACCTGGGAGAAACCGCCGGGCCCCCTCCTCCTTTCGGCCGTCCCGGGGCTCCCCCGGCGGGCGGAGGACGGAAGGCGGGCGCTGCGTTTTCGACTCGGGTCGTTTAACCCGAGGTAGCGCGAGCCGGCGCGCGCGCTATTTGTCTCACGGTCGGCGAGCCGAGATAATCGCTCGACCCCTTCCGTCTCGAAACGCCGAGTTCGAGGAACCGGGACGTCTCCGGCCCGTCGTTCGACTCTCCTCCCCCTTGCCGTACCGGCGGGGTATCTGGCTGGAGAAGCCGGCACCGTATCAACGACCGCGGGCGGACCTTCCAGGGTCACCAACCCCGCCGCGTTCCACTTTGCCCGTCACGACGCTCCGCGCGGCGCGGCGCACGCCCTCTTCCCGCCCGATATTTCCCTCCGACTCGGGCGGGGACCCGAAGCGCAGGGAAATGGGCGACCGGGCAGGCGCCCTTCCTATTTATTCCTTTTACGCCGGAGTCGGAGACCCGGGCCGCGTTGGCCGGCAACCTGTTGCCGCTCCGCCGGTATCGATCGCAGGTGCCGCTAGCCGCGCCGTCGCCCGCCGAGGATTTAGCGTCCCGGAGGGACCCCACTTCGGCGCGCTTACCCGCCCACCGACCAAAAAAATTCCCGATGGCCGCGGCCCCTTCCCAACCGACTCCGCCGGGAAACGGCGCTCTGCCCCCAGCCCCGCGGGAAAAGTGGGCCCGAAGACCTCGGCCCCCTCTGGCAGGGGGGCCGAGGGCAGGCCCAGTCTTCCCCCGCGGGACAGACGGGAGAGGAGAGAAATCGGTGGGAGAGCCGCGAGAAGGAAGAGCGATCGATGGCTGCCGGTGGCCGCCAAAGTTCTGGAAACGAGTTACGTCGCGCGCCAGAAAACGAAAAAATTAAATTCGAATTTTGGCGGGGAAAGAATCCACTTCCTCCCCACCGGCCACCCGACTTTGGAAAGAATCGGAAGGGGGAAGAGAAAATAATAATAATAATAGACTCCAAACTTTCCGAAATTAGAGCCGTATTTATTACTCGACAGTTAGGTGGCGGGCGGCCCGGGACGTTACGCCGGCGGCCGTTTTCCTCCCGGTGCCAAAACACCGGACGCTCCGAGATAACTTGGCAACGGCCCCGATTGCGTCACTTCCGCTCCGGAGGAGGGAAGGGAGGCGTGGAAGCCCGGAGGAACGCTCGTTCGGTTTTAAACCCTATGCGCCGATACTCCTTTGAAACGGCGGAAGAAAACAGAAAAAAAAAAAAAACGGCCCGCCCTGATTTTCCACATCTCGCAGCTTCGGGAGGGACGGTTCTCGGCTTCCGTGTCGTCGAAAATTCTCGCTCTCCCCCCTTTCGGCGCCATCTTCCTCCCGCCGTTCGATAAGCGCTGGCTCCCACTGCGCGGGGGAGGCGTTCCGACGGCGAAAGTGACGAAACAAACGTCGACTGCTCGCGTGCGCCGGTGCCGTGTGTTGCCTTTATTTTTTTTTTTATTTTCCTTTCTTCTTCTTCTTCTCGACCTTGTTTCGCTAACTTTTGCGCAATTCCGGAAATACCACGTTTTAAAGTGGGTTACGAACCGCTATGGAGAAATCCCCCCGAGCGTTAGATTTTGACCCTGACATGGAAATCCACCGATTTATGCCTACATTAACATAAATATCTAAAAATTCTGCCAACGGTTTTTCTGACGGGAAACCGGCTGCCATCTTGCCACCATCCGCGCGGATCTGAAGGGGGAGGAGAAAGGGAACGCGCCGATAAGCCCTCCCATCTTTTTTTTCTGACGTACGTTCGTCGGTCTGTCAGTACGCGTTGGCCAAACCTTGATTACTTATACTTACGTAGTCGTGAAATGCCTTAGCTTCACTCGAATGCTCGCACGTGTCCCTCCTCTCCGGTGCGGCGCAGTACAGGTCCCAAAAAACACTGAAAAATAGAAAACAAACGCGTCAATTAAGCGCCAGAAACTAGAGGTATCCTGCATAAAGTTAATTTATTATTATGATATATTTTATTAATGGATAATTAATTGTGGCCGGGTGACGACACTGGTTACGCGGGTTTACGGCGCTGGCATTATTTTTGGAAGGGGATCGAACTAGAACGAAACGAAACTCTCGGCCCCACGCGTAGTATTTTTCTGCCGTAACTTCACCCCCCCTCTGCATATACCCGTCAGACTAGTTGCAGCCTGCATAGTCAAGGTTTATTTTTTCTGCACGCTTGGATGACAACGGCGGGAGGAGGAGGAATTTCAGCAAATACACAAATTCGACCCCGACGTACCGAAGGGGGTGGCGTTGCGGCGCTGGCAGATCGTCGACTCGTCTGGCCCACCCACCGAATAGAAAAATGGCACTCTACACGCGTACGCAAGTGTGTGCAATACGCGCTGGAGGATGACGCAATGGGACTTCACGCCGGTAGAAATGACCTTTTGGGGGAGACGGCCGGGTAGGGACTTTCGGGGGGGTCAAGTTTAGCTAAGCGTCGAGCCGCCGTTACCCAACACCCGACTAACGAAACACTCAGGTAACTTTCCTGCGATTATGAAACGTTGTATCCGCCGGTTGGCTCTAGCGCCTGCACGCGCGTATTACGGAATTTCCACCTGTAGGTAACGTAAACAGACTGGAAAAGGGGTTCATTACGTTAAGCGAGCCGTTCTGATAAATATTAAAGAGGTGTTGACAAGTGTTAAAATTTAATACGCGCGCCGCTATTTATAGGTGTCTTTAAAAAACATTACAAACTTTTGCCAAACTTGCCAGCGGGGGCGAAGCGTTCCGGCAGCCATTTTTCCACCTCCGACCGGGCGAAATTTTCTTTCTTTTTTGGCTCGACAGCCCGGAAGGGGAGGGGAAGCGGCAGGAAGGTTTTTCCTCCTTCCGCGGAATACCTCGTGGCGTTTCATTCGGGACGATGCCCAGAGCTTCCTACTAAACGGTAGGCAGTGGCTTGTCACTCTCTACCACGCAGACATGTTTGAAATACAAACAAGTGGAGCGAGCACCCTTTGACTTCTGACGTGTCAATTCATTAAATGCCGCGTACCAGCCGACCCATCTACTTAACATTCAACACTCACCAAACCTGTACTCTCACAGGCCGGATCCCTTCTTACCCTCCGATTTCCAGACACCTCCGTGTTTGAGGCAAAATTTACGCATCCCTCTTTCCACGGTAAGACAATGGGCAAAAAAAGTATAACGCAAGCTCGCCTCCGGGTGGCAATAAACGGGAATTTGGACAGTTAATTACGCAGGGGGTTGCGGAATTCGAGTCGTGGATGAAAAGTAAAGTCGAGTGGGCGCGGCGATATCCTCCCTTTCACGCGTGGCGTACGCAACGATCGAACTCCTCAAACGCAGTTTTCTGGGGTGGTATCTACGCGACTCTCCCCGAGGGGTTCCAGGATATCCAGATAAGCATTTTCTACCCGATCCCTTTTCCTATTCGCAGCATCTTTGCTTTCCCTCGCGCGCGCGGTAAAGAGACCCCTTTAGCAATTTCGGAGGGAGAAAGAAGGCATCCGAGATTCTCGAAGCATTCCGAAATCCCCCAGAAAAGGGAGGGGGAAGAAAAAATCTTTAAATGCGGGGGCACGTGGCAAAACGATAAACCGCCGACTCGGATCGATATTTAAAATAGAGAAAAATGTTTATCGTGCGCGGGGGAATGGAAACAAGACGGAGCCAACCGGCGGAGCGCGGGCGTCGAAAATCTCCCTCCCCCGGAACGGCGCGTGCACGCAAAACATCCGCGACACGTCACACTCAAGGTCGGCAACAGAGCGGCGGTTTGGAAGGTGCACCGTGAATGAAAAGACGAACAGGTGCCGGGGAGGGGAGGAGCGGCCGAATATCCGAAACGGCATTTTCGGGACCCGGCTCGACCCAAAAACCGAGGGAAGCGCCACGTCGTTTGCATAGAGCCGAGTCGAATGGCCCAACCGGTACCTGGGAATCTAGGCCTGGGGGGAAGGAGCGTTTCCACGTCGTACATCCTAACCTAAATCCAAGCGGCACTCGACTGGTCTCCTTTTATTTTTTAGTCAATATTTATTCGCCCGAAGGTAGGATTGGCAAACCGACTGCTTGACGCCCGTGCCTCATTGTTAGCCCGTTTGACGAACCTGTAACACCTCCTCGGCGTGGAGTGGCACTCTTCGAGAAAATTTAATTTACCGTCCGAGTGGTAAACGATTCTTTTACACTCCTTCGAAAGTATTTCCCTGCCCGCACGATCGATGAAACGTCAACACTAATTACAAATGCCCAAATTGTCCCCAGAATTGTCGCCGGTCCCTTGAATGAAGCAAATTTTAAAAATACTCCCAAAATTTCTCCCCGGATGCTCTGGAGTGTAGGACTGCTCTCTGCATTCCCGAATAACCCAGGCAGAGTTCAGCACCGCTTCACCAGAAGATGCTTTCTCGTGCCACAACTTTGCAAGATGTCCTATTATTTATTTGTATGAACTGTTTTCTAGTGATTTATGCTTTTTTGTTCTGGTTTGGTGCAGAAGATAACTATGGAGTGGCAAGATCAATAATTCTGCACTCTCCAAAAGGCTTATAAGAGTGCCACCTGCCACAGAATGCTCATGTTCTGTTAGACGCCGAATGAAACCAAAGATCCAGGGTGACGGACTGGTCCTCGGATTCTCCCTCCCGAACTTTACTCCTGAAGAACCGAAAACTGGCAGTGGACCATTCCGGAAAGATGTCCCTCGCTTAATTCGCCAACCCGATTAAAAATGATTAATATATACCAGTTTGTAGATATTTTGGGAACGCTTGGCAATCAATCAAAGTTACACAATTTGAGACACAGGCTGCAATCTGTTTGTATTTAGCTCATTTATCAGTCGGAGAGTACTTTTTGCCTCTATAAATATGAGTAAAAACAAAATAAGATAGGTATGCAAATACATAGAATAATGGTAATATACTCATTGTAGAGGAAACGAGAGAAGTAAGAGCATGTTTAAATTTGTGCAATGAATTTCTTCCAAAAAATCACGAACTTAGTAAAAAATACATTTTACTGTTTCGATAGACAGTATAAAAGTGTCGGACTCTCAAATACATTTTCTAAGGAAGCATACTGACGTTTTGAATAATAAGTAATAGTGATGTTGAGACTGAAGTTTTAAATGTGAAAACATGTATGTCGGACATTCAGCACCGCTTTCCTGTAAGCATAGAGGTTTGATAATGGTGTTTGGAATGTCAAACATGATTCCACTGACTATCCAAACACCGTTGTCAAACTTCTAGGCTTACAGGATAGCGTCACTGAACGTCTGACGTACACATTTTTGCATTTAAAACTTCAGCCTCAACCTTGCTATTAAATGGAAACATTGCATATGAGGTACTAACCACATACTAACAAAGCAAGTAGTTAAAAGGCAACACAATATTTACAAATATCCCGAACAAACCGGTCACCTGTGTAACAAAATGATGCAGTTAACTCCAACAGATCTCAATAAATATAGCTTTTTGCTATGAAAATCAAAATATTCACAATGTTTCCTGTGCGGGGTATTTCAAAAAGTGCATTTGTTGCATATAATCAATTAAACTAGTAAATAAACTGGGTTATTCCCCAGCCATGTTTATCATCATGCTACAAGTGGCAACAAGACAACTATGTCAGACAAACTATGGGCTTGAAAATTGAAATCTATTTAATATATTTATTATAATTATTGAAAATCCTGTCATATACCATTACTATTTTCATGGAGAGGGCCTGCATACAGGTAACGAAGGCAAGTTTGGGACAGAAATCCTTAAACTTATCAAATAAAAACTAAAAATTTCCATAAAAAACTTTATATTTTATTGGAACAAATAACAAAACTACAGAATGAGTGCAACCTCTTCCCTTCCTTTACCGATTTAGCTGCAGCTGTTTAAACATTGAACTCTTACAGTAATCGACATTAAATAGATAAGGTTTGTGACGAGTTTAAGAACAGAAACAAAAAGTTTCTGTGCTCGAGCGTTTCATATTATTTAAAATTAAATTTAAAATTGAAAATAATTGTTAGGAAATGGTTATGTTATCAATCGTCATGGCATGAGCCTGAACCACATACAAGAATTAAACGACAGATTAAAAAATAAAAACACTGCCATCTGGAAATAAAATGCAAGTGTTTCCTGTATTAACCATAATCCTGTATAAATAGGAAAAATTACTTAATTTCTTAAAATGTTAGAGTTTCAAGCAGATTTCAGACCAAAAAATTTGACCCCTAAACACTAACAGGCCAGAAATCCAAGCCGAATCAAAGTGCCAAAACATTTAATATTTGAATTTTTATATGAACTTTCTGTCAGGATTCAAATTCTGCCAAAAAGCAAATTATCTTTTGGTGCGGTTTTTCCCCCCTTCCAATTTTAGTAAAAATTTTAAAGTTCCTTCGAACAACCAGGACAGAAAAGAAAGCAACCAAACAATACTAATACCACCACCGGTAGTATAGAAATTATTAATAGAATAAAAATCATTATACTGTATCTGACACAAGGAAATTTTAGAATAAATTGCAGCTTTTTTTTTATATATATATAAAGTATAGGTAACACATTTCACCTGCTTTCTGATACACACATATACGTATGCGTCTAGAAAGATATACCTTGCAGTTGGTATAACAGCTGGAATACTAATGCACATGTTGATATGGAATATTATCACAGATTTTCAACAACTGCACCGTCGTGCCATAACCGGCCAAAAATGAGACTTTGCCCATCATGCACGTGTCACATAATATGAAGAACAAAAAGTAATTTCGATTTACTTTAATTCCATTCAAATTAAACTCTTCAAATATACTATTTTCTCCGTGAACTTCCCCAACGTAACAAAAACACATGCCAAGACGGCAAATTATATGATGACCTAATTTACAACCCCACTCTTTTTTTTTCAAATTATTGTTTGTGTTTTAACGCACTTATTGGTGAGGCATTCGGATACCACATACACCTGCGAGATCGCATGGGACCCAAGCAAAGGAAGACCACCTTGGAATGTCACTGCGAAGCGCCTATAGAAAGGTGCATGTCCGGCCAAACATCAAAAAAAGTATACTCACCACCACCATGAGTGTAAAAATCCTGGAGGTTCACCTAACGTTATGTTCTTCTCCCATCGGATCTGTAAGACAGAAGGTCGATCAGTAGTGTGCCTGTAATTCCACACATAATCGTAATTGAAAACTAATTAAAATTAATTAATAAATCCAGCTAATAACAAAATAAAATGGAGGTGTTTTTTTTTCCTTTTTCTTTCAACTTGAAACCAAAGTAGCAGATCAGATTTCAAAATTTATATATTTTTCAAAACATGTCCTTGTATTCTGATGCAACAAAGCATTTATGTAATAAGCAAAATGGGGGGAAAAACAGAAAAATGGAACTAAACACTTGTACAGAAGTTATAAATAGGCACAGAAAAAAAAGAAATAATTTATTTATTAATTCATTAATTAAAAGAAAATAAATAAAACAAGGAGTTAATGAATTTTAAATCATTCTTGAAAACTTTGGAAAGGAGGGCGAGTCTGAATTAACCTTATAAACTAGTTATAAACAATAAAAAATCGGGAAACAATTAAAAAAAATGTGTGATAATCTAACACATCAGGTTCCTTAAGAATTATTTAAAGTATTATTCAATAATGGTAATAAAAATCAATAATATTTGTCACCCCCTGATCATGTAACAACACCGGTGATTGGATGGAAAGTATTAAAAATTGGTGCAAGTTTGGCACACAACCTCACCATTTACCATTAAATGCCATACTATCTAATGGGGTGTTGTATAGGAAAGAGGGTGGAAGGTAATGATACGCCTCCACGTGTGTATTTTGGATATATTTTTTCTGGAAATCTACAGTGGTCATTGACCAGAGATGGGTTAGGAGCGGGAGTTTTCCATGGGCTATAGCCACGTTCTGCGATCCTCCCCCAACTACCGGGTTCGCCTGGAATCAACAGAGAGAGAGAGAGAGAGAGAGAGAGACAGGGAAGGTTCTCCATTCCGTCGCCAGGCCTGTGTAACCGATAAGCTGGAGACACGATCTTCCATCCAAACACCGTTTCCGACCCGTCGAACAGCAGAAAACACAGGAAATTTTACCTCCGATAGGAAGGTCTGCGCCGCTTTCTGGGCTCCTACGTGTAACAGGTATTCGTAAACGTACAACGCTAACCTGGAAGACAAAAGAAAACAACGTCAAAACAACACATCCGCCACCGCGACACCCCCACACCGCCGGCGTGGAACGATCCTCTCACTCACACACACACCACATACACACACACACACACACACACACGCACGGCCATATGCATAAGGCCAGCGTGCACGTCCGGATACGTTAAAAACCCCCTGCATGCCGCGAAAAAAATGAAATAGATTAATTAAACAACACGAATCTCGAGCGTGGCGCGGACGTGTTACTTACGCGGGAGCGAGCGCGCGCGCCAGCCAGCGTTACGTAAATGGAACGGGCGCCGAAGTAGTAAGGCGATTCACGCCATGTTGACGAGGTGCCACTACCCCCCGTGCTTAACAGCCGGACCGTGGCCGGACGCCAACGTTACGGACAATGGTAGACGTGGTTACTTACTTTTCTCTGGCTTGAGCATCCGACGGCACCGTTGAGCCTTTCCCTTTAGCGTACATGCTGTCAAGTTAAACTGTCACGCACCTGTCAAGACATTCAGGACGACACCGACCCTGTTACCATAGAAACATTAATTGATCTGTCACGGGCCGCGATGTGATTGGACTCGGCCTCTTCGATGCAGCAGTTCCTCTCCCAGCAGTCACGCTTCTATGCAAATCGCTCGACTGCCATTGGTCCAATCGTCCGGGATCTTACGTCGGCCGTCGTCACCCCCCGCTTAACAATCCAAAACTAGCTAAACTTTTACTCAACTAAGGTAAAGGTAAAAAAGTAATATGGTGGACGGCGGTTTCGTTAGATTTAATTTGTCGACATGGAAAAATAATAATTAATCGCCGTTTCGGCGCTGTTGTCTCTTCGCTAAGTTTTCCGTCCAGGGGGCGGAGTGAGCGTTGAATAGAACGACGTAGAAAACGGAAGGGTTGGAAAACGACCAGCTGGGGCATGAGAGACCGTGTTGTTTAAACTCGGCAAATTCGTTGCTTTTAAAATTTATATTAAAATCGAAACTTTGTAATATTTATTAATAATCGATCGGTCATGCCAATCGAATGGATTTATTTATCGAAAATTCACGTAAAAATACCACATTAATTACCCCATCTGTCACGTAAAGTCGCCTCCGTCGGAAGATAAATTTTTCAAAAAAAAAAAAAANGATAAACAAAATCCTTTTGGGGGATCCGGTGTCACCAGAATATCGCTGCCGTGTTACTTTATGAATATATATGTGTATATATATATATATATATTGCCTTCAAGGTCACCTCTAAAAACCTCTCCAATTCTATCTTGTAGCGGTGTTTAGCGAATAATATTTAGCATTGACGTTTGCAATAAGATTTTATCCGTCTGTATGACTGAACTTTAGACATTTTCTCTTTGCTGTGTGTTTGTGTGTGCGTGTGCCTTTGGAATAATTCCAAACCGAATCGACTCGACTCGATACGCAACCGGTTGTGAAGAAAACTTCTATTTTAAAATATATAATTCGCTTTACGTTTATAAATATTTTAAACTACGCGAGTAATAATAAAAGTCTGGAAAACATTAATTATTAACATAAATAACCCGAACATGGCTAACTGTCAACAAGTCTCCACTGCATCCCTCCTCTCTTTCTCTCTTTCTCTCTCTCTCTCTTTCTCTCTCTGTGTGTGTGTGTTTGTGTGTGCTGCTACTACTACTCTCCCCTTTCTCCAGCATCACAGATGCAATTTCCCAAAATATAATCCCCAACTTTTGAGATATGAATAATATTTTATTTATTTTGTTTTAGTTATCTCGTCCCACCCCCTGTATTTTTTCCCTCCTTATCAATTTTTATAAAGGGTTGGCTTTAGTTAGATCTCTGATTAATTCATATTGTATGCATGCATGTATGTATGTATACGTATGCTGTACTCGAGAATCTCTTCCTGTTGATCGATTTCGCAGATATTAACTTGTATGTTTTCTCCAACGCTTTATTTTTATTATTATTAATGGTGATTAAATGAGTATCGGTCGTGTTCCGATCTAATAATAGCGCCATTTTTTCCCCTCCCCTTCGTATGCGGTTTGCTGCGGCCTTAGTTTTAAAATGTCTTACGTTACCGATTTTTACTCTATATCAGATTCCATGCTGTAACTGTATATTCGAAGGAGGTATTGATATAACAATATCCTTCCCTCTACGTTTACCTTTACGCCAACGTCTGCACAGTTGAAACTTCCACGAATATTTTTTAATTCTTTACATCCCCTTTGGCTTCCACCCCCTCGTTTCGATGGCGAAATTTTCGAATTAAAACCCGCCCTCTGGTGTATATATTTTTTTGTAATCTTTCCATCCCCGTTAAACTTTTTAATCGACCATTGTGAGTTTATATATTTTTTTTAACCTTTGAATTACTTCTTAAAATCTCTAATGGCTCCCTTTTAACCCCCCGTTTAACTCTGTTAACCTCCGTGCTACTTCATTAATCTTCTATTATATTTTTGTGTGATCTTTAACTACTCGGAAACGTGATTTGACCTTTCAGTTAAAACAATATGCGGCGAAACCTGCTTAAAGCGGAATATTTTTTCCGTTCGGAACAGGTTTAATTATTTATTAAACGTAGAAAGTCGCTCCGCTCCGAAGAATTTTGACCGTTTAGGCTGGTTTCCGTTGTAAACAGGTTATACCTTACTGTATTTAAATCTTTACTTATTTTACAAAGAGGATCGAGTTAAATTTTAATCCCGAAACCCGGTAAAGATCGATGAGACAACTTTCTAGCTTATCTTGCAGTTGGGTAGCCATCAGGGATTGGAATCTCCCGTATCCGACGCTCTTCACCTCTTACGTAATCTCCGAACACCCTCGCGAAAATTAACCATTGTACAAAAGTTTCGCTGCCCTATACGACACCAGAAGGGCCCCAAACACGAAGTGGGCCTCGAAGAATGCATAAATTTTCAAGGCCTCCTGCCCATAGATTGCCCTACTTAGACACGTGTTCGTAGTGTTCAGGGAATATTTTTATTGTATCGATGGGGGGAGGAATTATAAACCGTGGCAAGATCCTCCTCTATCCTTCAGAAACATCGATTTTAAGAATATGTATATGGCTCGAGGCTGACTAACCAGAGAAGGCCAGAGGGGAAACCATGCAGAAATGCCCGAGGGATAAACATATACTTGGATTGAGGAAAAATTCCGCCAATAATTATAATTCTTATATTCTCCTGTTTGTGTTCTATATTTCCTCCAAATGTAAAATTAATAATTTTACGACGACGTGAAAGTATTTTATTTTTCTCTCTCTGTCTCTCTCTTCTTCCCTTTTTTATACTCTTAGAAAATATCTGGTGGTGTAAACTCGAATGCTCATATTTAAGGGGATATCGCATTACCGATTTGATTATTATTATTTATAATACATATAATTTTAATTGTAATTCATACGAGTTAATTTGGAAGTATAATTCGGATCCCGATTGGGGTTCGTCTCTTTGCCCAGATTGTTGTCATCAAGGTCGTGTGTAGCAGAAGAGGAGTAGGTTTTTTCGCTCCGGGCTCAATATCGGAAGCGTGAGGTCCAAAGAGAGGGCCCAATACCGATCGAGGCCTACATACCAAGATGTAGGAGGCCTGCCAGATAACGATTTTGATCGTCAACTTACATAAATTACACGGCTCGATACCAGTATAGTGCCCGAATATGCCTACTTTTAGTTGGCAATTTGAATATATTCCTTGTTTTTACATAGTATTTAACGAATATTCCTATTTCGTACAATATTTAATGAATAATCAGTACTTTAAAACCATATTTAATGAATATTCCTTACTTCGAACCATATTTAACGAATATATATTTTTTTAAATATCGATTGGTAAATGTGTGTTTAAATTCAAAACTCGTATTCCTAATTTTTTTTAAATATACATTTTTTTTCGGAATTATAAATTCGTATTCTCGTAAGAATTTACGCATATTCTAACTGAAATTTTATATATATTTTTAACGTCACAAGGCCTAAACTTTCTCTCATTTTCATGCTACTTGATACAAGTCCTACGTGTAGCGACGTGTAACCTTGCCAATAACTCATTTATTATAAGTATGAAAATTAATCATATTTTTGCTACTTTGCTTTGAGAATGGCAAGAATATTATTCAGCTAAATAAAAGTAGAAAACAAAACAGAAACTGCGTGTTAAGAATAGAAGAATAAGTTGTTTCTTCCCTTTCTACACGCGGTTCCCTATTATAAAGTTGAAAATTTAAATGTATTTATTACTTTGGAATCATATTTTTACGGATATTCCCTATTTGAATGCATAATCTTTAATTCTAAACCTTATTTTAACGAATATTCCGTACTCTGGATCTCTGTTTTGAGGAACAAATTCCTTATTTTGAAACCCTATTTTTACGAATATTTCCTGGTTTTTATCCTATTTTAACGCATATTCTCGATCTCTAAACCTTATTTTAATGAGTTTCCCCAACTTTGAAACTTCGTTTTAACGAATTTTCCTACTTTAAAATATATATTAATGAATATTTTTACTCAGAAAATTCCCTAAAAAACAAGAATTTATCTATCTAACATAGGGGAGGACGTTTTTATCTCCTTTTTTAAGTGTATTAAAAGTTTACACCATAAAAATCTGAGACGATCCTTCCGGGAACTATCTAACTCGATAATTTTTCTAATGTTAATGTGCTGAAGACCATTGCAATTAAAAAAAAAATTTAAACACGTTTCACATTCGACGTCACCGACAAAGGCGCGATATAATAATAACAATATATATTTTTAAAAAATCTATTATCCTTGTACATTAACCCGAGTTCGGTTTAGGAATGGCTTTGACCCATTTATAAGGGTTCCTTCTCTCTTTGTGAAACCATAAAATGGACGAGTAGAAACTCGATGACAGGAACCACCTACCACTTTGACCTTGAAGTTTGTATTATTATGAATGTACTGTGCATAGTTTCTTTCGCGAGTCGCTAGTAAAGGATGTATGTGGGATACTTTTACCTTTCCCTTTAAAATGTTGGCAGGCATTAACCCGTTATGCCCTCTTCCAATAACTTAATTCGATGGGTAGTAAGCTGTCACGACACTACATAAACCCCCTACGAACGTCTTTTATAAAACATCGATAGATGGCGACACTTTCTGATATATAATCATTAACATTAAACGAAAAAAAAAAAATTAATGAACAATAATAAGTTACATTACTCATATACTAAAATACCAAATCTATGTGTATCTGTTGACTGTTACGTAAACGTACAACTAGTACTTATTCATCATTTCCTAACCGAAAACTTCCTCCAAACAACCAGTTCTGCCCTTGTTTTCATTATCCCGCATTTAAATTATTTTAAAAGGTAAGCGTAAACAAGGAGCCGTAACGAATCATTAAAAAAAAGGGCATGCGCTTGAGCCCTGTTAATAATATATGCAAAAGTTTAGACGCTATAAAATCCGATATTCCCCTTAATAACGAAGTAGAGGAAGGGAAACGTCAAATTACCATAAGAGGGAACAAAGGTAAAAGATCCAAATTATTCACCAAATTTAGCACAAATATTGGGTGGTTACTAAATATATGAAGCGTACAGACGACCAGACGATCTCTTACACGTGGTTATCCCCCCTATATAGTTCCTTTTACGAAGTAATTCCGCATTCAATTAACACTATTTTTGGAGGGAAAAAATATATATATAAAAATCAGAGAGAGAAAAAAAATATTTTAAAGGAGAATCGGTCAAAACAATTTCAACAAAAGCAGAAGAAACAAAGTTATTTATCAGTACAGTGACATATAAAATGCATCATTAATTTCTCGTAGAACGAATCAGAATTTGTACTTTCTAGTTTAGCTTATTTTCCTTCTTTCTAGTTTTATTTTAGACAATTCATTATATGAGCTGTGTCTAATTATGATAAGTCAAGTAACTCAGTGACCCGCTTTAGAAATTTAGAATTGGTCCCAGCAGAGGTTAAATTAAACAAGAGAGTAGACGTTTCTTCTTCTTCTTCTTCTTCTTTTAAATCCACATTTTAAAAAATAGCATTTCTTCCTTTCATTTTAAATATATTTATAATATTTTTCTAAGGAGAAGTTTAGGTCGAGTGATATCAGCGATAAACATTCATCCCCGAGCCGGAGAATGAGTCACTCCTTGTCGTCATTTCCGGTGTCCTAGTAAACGTCCATTCGGATTTAAAGCGGGGGAGATGTCGAGTACGTTGGAGTTGGAAGATTATAAGAAAGTTGTCAACGAATTTCTCGAGAAGTCAGCTGATTTGGGTGATGGATGGTCGAGGAAGGCGATCAAGGTTGGAATCAAAAATGAATCGTAAATTAAATAGTATTCTAACTACTACCTTCCCTCCTCTGGCGGGAATGTAGTATGAGACCGGTTGGACCTTACCAAATCGATAGGCGGGGAGGTGAGGACGTCGTGGGAGGGAATTTCAAACCGGACCAAAACACGAAAAAAGTCACCATAAATACAGTTCGCCCGAATGTTTCGGGGGAAAAAAGAGGAACGAAATAACACATGCAGGAGACGGGAGAAACTGAAACAGCGAACACCCCTTCAGAAACGATAAGTGGTCACGTCCGACTGCCCCTTCTTAATTTTTTTCCCTCCCCCTCGGTCTGCATTTAATGCGACAGGACTTTATCAAAGCTTAGGACTATTTTTGTCCTGGTGATGGGTGCGCAGTTGTGCGTCAGCGCACGTGGCCAACTCCAGTACTCTCCACAGCCGAGACATTCGATCGATCAGTCAGGCCGGAGTATATCCAGGCGGAAGTAATGCCATACACACGTGGTCGGTTGGGGCTACACGGCGCAGGCGACAGCCAACGGCTAATCAACACAACACAATCGCTCCGATATTTATTATTTAAAAAAAAGAGAGAGAGAGATACGCGCGCTTACGTCACAACTACGCGCCACTCCCGAAACAAAGAAGAAAAAACTCCCTCTAAGAGGAAACGAGGACACACCCCCGCGCGATGACGATTTTAAAATGGTGTTTTGGCATTTTTCTGCGATTTTCCCCCCCCTTCGCATCGGGTCGTGGGTTCGGTTAATTCATCCCTCACGCGTGTTGGTGGAAGTTTTAAAGTTTCTTTCCCTCTCTATCATAACCTGAGTAGTGTATATGTAAATTTATTGATTGGCGTTTGGTTAGGACCACGAGTGCTGCTACGTCGGGTCTCCTGTTGGCTCGAGGAGGGTCGGAGTCGGGGGTCGAATCGACGGCTGAAGATGCTGCTGCCGTTGCCGCGATGGTGGTGGTAGCTGCTATTGGAAAAGGTCATCGTTGCATTGTTGTCTTTACGCTGGCGAATCCCTTCCAACTACGCCATGACGTCAGACAGCGAGGATGTTTTCTCCGTGCACGTGACCCGCGGCACATCTTCCAACATTTCCCATTAAGCACCCCTTCGACCCCCATCGATAGAAGCGTACAACATGTAAATATACATACATACAAACACGCCTACACACGTATATACGTACTCGTACCCCCGTTTTTCTTCCAAATTATCGGATTAAAACACGCGTCTCCACCCCCAGAAACGGCGAGGGAGGGTGGTAGAAGCAAAGGAAAAGAAAAAATATATATATACATACGTATGTATATATATAAATTTTTTTTTCTTCTTCACGTTCTCGGTGTTTTGCGTGGCAATGCGCACGCGCTTAGCCATGTAAAGTATTCAAGTAAATTCTATTCTAAATCGTTTGAAGTGACCTGCTCGCCTCGTGACGTCATCAGCTGTGCTTTAGTTTATTCGCGCGGCGCATGCGCCCCCGAGTTTTGTGGTGTGCAAGGAATAATATTCGATCGGTTGCAGGAATAAAGAAAAACTTCCTCGATCCCATATTCACAATTTATCAGCGCCTTGATTCTTGCCCTTAACGTCGTGTGACCTTTACCCAACCGCGGCAAAGATTAAAAAAATAAATAAAAATAAAAAATAAACAAGAAGGGACATTAATTTCGAATCTCTCTTCTTTTTTTCCCCGGCCAACTTCGCCGAATTTTTTGTGCTAAATATTTAACTTTCGTCGGGAAAATTGCAAAATGGAAGAGGAAACTGTGGCAGCGGTCACTCCCTCTAGTGGACGATTTTTGTTGTAAAGGAATAAAAAAAAAAGGANGATAAACAAAATCCTTTTGGGGGATCCGGTGTCACCAGAATATCGCTGCCGTGTTACTTTATGAATATATATGTGTATATATATATATATATATTGCCTTCAAGGTCACCTCTAAAAACCTCTCCAATTCTATCTTGTAGCGGTGTTTAGCGAATAATATTTAGCATTGACGTTTGCAATAAGATTTTATCCGTCTGTATGACTGAACTTTAGACATTTTCTCTTTGCTGTGTGTTTGTGTGTGCGTGTGCCTTTGGAATAATTCCAAACCGAATCGACTCGACTCGATACGCAACCGGTTGTGAAGAAAACTTCTATTTTAAAATATATAATTCGCTTTACGTTTATAAATATTTTAAACTACGCGAGTAATAATAAAAGTCTGGAAAACATTAATTATTAACATAAATAACCCGAACATGGCTAACTGTCAACAAGTCTCCACTGCATCCCTCCTCTCTTTCTCTCTTTCTCTCTCTCTCTCTTTCTCTCTCTGTGTGTGTGTGTTTGTGTGTGCTGCTACTACTACTCTCCCCTTTCTCCAGCATCACAGATGCAATTTCCCAAAATATAATCCCCAACTTTTGAGATATGAATAATATTTTATTTATTTTGTTTTAGTTATCTCGTCCCACCCCCTGTATTTTTTCCCTCCTTATCAATTTTTATAAAGGGTTGGCTTTAGTTAGATCTCTGATTAATTCATATTGTATGCATGCATGTATGTATGTATACGTATGCTGTACTCGAGAATCTCTTCCTGTTGATCGATTTCGCAGATATTAACTTGTATGTTTTCTCCAACGCTTTATTTTTATTATTATTAATGGTGATTAAATGAGTATCGGTCGTGTTCCGATCTAATAATAGCGCCATTTTTTCCCCTCCCCTTCGTATGCGGTTTGCTGCGGCCTTAGTTTTAAAATGTCTTACGTTACCGATTTTTACTCTATATCAGATTCCATGCTGTAACTGTATATTCGAAGGAGGTATTGATATAACAATATCCTTCCCTCTACGTTTACCTTTACGCCAACGTCTGCACAGTTGAAACTTCCACGAATATTTTTTAATTCTTTACATCCCCTTTGGCTTCCACCCCCTCGTTTCGATGGCGAAATTTTCGAATTAAAACCCGCCCTCTGGTGTATATATTTTTTTGTAATCTTTCCATCCCCGTTAAACTTTTTAATCGACCATTGTGAGTTTATATATTTTTTTTAACCTTTGAATTACTTCTTAAAATCTCTAATGGCTCCCTTTTAACCCCCCGTTTAACTCTGTTAACCTCCGTGCTACTTCATTAATCTTCTATTATATTTTTGTGTGATCTTTAACTACTCGGAAACGTGATTTGACCTTTCAGTTAAAACAATATGCGGCGAAACCTGCTTAAAGCGGAATATTTTTTCCGTTCGGAACAGGTTTAATTATTTATTAAACGTAGAAAGTCGCTCCGCTCCGAAGAATTTTGACCGTTTAGGCTGGTTTCCGTTGTAAACAGGTTATACCTTACTGTATTTAAATCTTTACTTATTTTACAAAGAGGATCGAGTTAAATTTTAATCCCGAAACCCGGTAAAGATCGATGAGACAACTTTCTAGCTTATCTTGCAGTTGGGTAGCCATCAGGGATTGGAATCTCCCGTATCCGACGCTCTTCACCTCTTACGTAATCTCCGAACACCCTCGCGAAAATTAACCATTGTACAAAAGTTTCGCTGCCCTATACGACACCAGAAGGGCCCCAAACACGAAGTGGGCCTCGAAGAATGCATAAATTTTCAAGGCCTCCTGCCCATAGATTGCCCTACTTAGACACGTGTTCGTAGTGTTCAGGGAATATTTTTATTGTATCGATGGGGGGAGGAATTATAAACCGTGGCAAGATCCTCCTCTATCCTTCAGAAACATCGATTTTAAGAATATGTATATGGCTCGAGGCTGACTAACCAGAGAAGGCCAGAGGGGAAACCATGCAGAAATGCCCGAGGGATAAACATATACTTGGATTGAGGAAAAATTCCGCCAATAATTATAATTCTTATATTCTCCTGTTTGTGTTCTATATTTCCTCCAAATGTAAAATTAATAATTTTACGACGACGTGAAAGTATTTTATTTTTCTCTCTCTGTCTCTCTCTTCTTCCCTTTTTTATACTCTTAGAAAATATCTGGTGGTGTAAACTCGAATGCTCATATTTAAGGGGATATCGCATTACCGATTTGATTATTATTATTTATAATACATATAATTTTAATTGTAATTCATACGAGTTAATTTGGAAGTATAATTCGGATCCCGATTGGGGTTCGTCTCTTTGCCCAGATTGTTGTCATCAAGGTCGTGTGTAGCAGAAGAGGAGTAGGTTTTTTCGCTCCGGGCTCAATATCGGAAGCGTGAGGTCCAAAGAGAGGGCCCAATACCGATCGAGGCCTACATACCAAGATGTAGGAGGCCTGCCAGATAACGATTTTGATCGTCAACTTACATAAATTACACGGCTCGATACCAGTATAGTGCCCGAATATGCCTACTTTTAGTTGGCAATTTGAATATATTCCTTGTTTTTACATAGTATTTAACGAATATTCCTATTTCGTACAATATTTAATGAATAATCAGTACTTTAAAACCATATTTAATGAATATTCCTTACTTCGAACCATATTTAACGAATATATATTTTTTTAAATATCGATTGGTAAATGTGTGTTTAAATTCAAAACTCGTATTCCTAATTTTTTTTAAATATACATTTTTTTTCGGAATTATAAATTCGTATTCTCGTAAGAATTTACGCATATTCTAACTGAAATTTTATATATATTTTTAACGTCACAAGGCCTAAACTTTCTCTCATTTTCATGCTACTTGATACAAGTCCTACGTGTAGCGACGTGTAACCTTGCCAATAACTCATTTATTATAAGTATGAAAATTAATCATATTTTTGCTACTTTGCTTTGAGAATGGCAAGAATATTATTCAGCTAAATAAAAGTAGAAAACAAAACAGAAACTGCGTGTTAAGAATAGAAGAATAAGTTGTTTCTTCCCTTTCTACACGCGGTTCCCTATTATAAAGTTGAAAATTTAAATGTATTTATTACTTTGGAATCATATTTTTACGGATATTCCCTATTTGAATGCATAA